TGGGGGAAGCCCAGAGCACCGAGAACACGGTGAAGAACAGCTAAGCTAGCCTCTCCCCTCCTCTTTCCCTCTCTGCAAACATCCTGAAGGAATGAGGTCACGTGGGTGAGTAGTGGGCGGGACCTACTCTTGTCTGGAGGAAAAAAGCCATTTTGTCGCCCCCCCCCTCCACGGCCCCTCCCCTCCCCTCTCGTCCCCTCCCCTCCCCTCTCTCCCTCCCACCCCAAGCTGCTCTTACAAACTCCTTTCTTACCATAGGTTTCTCCCCTCCCGCCGACCAAGCGAGCGACAGGGCTGTGGCCCCCCTCCCCTCCCTTCCCTCCCTCCCTCCCATCCCCCCCTCCCCGAGACCCACTGGACCCCGAAGCCAGGTAAGCGGACGCCGACTCGCGCCTGCCTCCTTGCTACCTCGTAAGCGTTTGTGGCTGGCGACTCGGGCCGGTCCACCTTTCCCCGCAGACCCCAGTGGGAGCCGGGAGTCCCGGCCTGGCCTGCCGATCGCGTCCCCTTCCCGCCCCTCCAGCCGCTGTCCAAGCTCGCCCCGTCCGCCTTTCTTTCTCCCGTTCCCGGTCTCTCTCTCTTTTTCCCTTTCCTCCCTTCCAAGATGGCCGAAGTGGATTCCCCCTCTTAACGATTTGGCGTCTCCCTCGACCACCTCCTCTTTGTGCAGCAGCCCCCTGCTAAGACCCTGCTCGCGAGGTATCGAGGGGGAGGGTCCGGGCGGCCACGAGGGCTTTGGGGACACTCGCTAGGGTGGGTCTCACCCCCACCCCAGTGTCTCCACCAGCCGGAACAGAGTGGCTCTGGCAGATCAGCCCCCTCCGAGTCGGGCAAGGGTCGCCTCTCGCATGGGCAGTGAGCGTGGTAGACGCGCGAGGATTTGAGGCCCGGAGGAAGGGGACTTGGCCTTCGGGTGGCTGCGAGGCCGGGGGAGGGCGCCCTAACTGCTGGGGTCCGGATCTTGGGCACCTCCCCCAGAGGTCCCTTTCCCCAGTCCTGGTGCGAGGCGCCCCGCCCCCTCCCTGAACCACCTCGCCAGAGCTTTTCCCCTACATCCCTCCTGGGGCCCCACCAAAGTTTGGCTCTAGGGAAAGGAGGGAGTGGCCACTCGGTCACTGGGGTGCCTGATCCTTTGACCTGAGCTCCGGGGGAAACAGGGGTGGAGCGGGTAGAATGGGAACGAGGGGAGATTTAGCTTGCTCTCTCGCTTTGACCAGTAGTATTAGGCCAAGGGGTCTCACGAGCTGCTCCTTTTTCCATGGAGCGGCGGGAGCAAATGGAAGCGGCTACTCTTTCTTCCCCGAGCTCTGGCGTAAATAGCTCTGAAAAGCTGGGGAACCCTGGGCCTGCAGACACCCTGCACCCTGCTTGTCTCCTAGGGGCTTCTAGTCAACCCCCCCCCCGCCCCACTCCCCGGGTCTACCTAAAATTGCTGTGCTTGGCTTGAGTGAGAAGGGTATGTATGTGTGAATATTAAATGTTTAAGTATATACAGGTATTACCTCGAGTTTTCCCTGCGTCTTTGTCTCTCCTGGCCCCCAGCCTTGCCCCCCCCCCCCCCCATGCTGCCTCAGTCTCTCTTGGATCCCTCTCACCGAGGGAGGGGTTTCTCTTAGCCAGCTCACACAGTCCTGGGCCTCCCACTCTGGACTTCTTGCAGTTGTAGCGTTCCTGAAACTCATGACCCCCCACACACACCCCTATCCCTGCTCCAAGATTTTATTACTGTAATCGGAGGCGCATAAAGCCAGCTCTGTTGCAGCGTTTTGGTGGAAAGCTTTTCCCAGGGGCTGCCCTGATTTAAGGTTGGGGCTTGTGCACTTAGAACCTGTGTTTGGAATGCGGTAGGAAACAGACTCCACGATCCAGTCCGGCTGTCGCCTGTTTCTGTTCAAGCTGAACTATTGGTAGGTGAGCAGAGAGGAGGGAAATGACTCCCTGAGATCTTGGTTGATGGAGCTGTTGCCATGGGAACAGAGAGAGCCTGAAGTGGAAGAGGTTACATATTGTATAGGTCAGATGTCAACCGTAGGCCTCCAGCCTCTGGCCTCAGAGCAGAGTTGGGGGTCGATCTGTCTTTGTTGCTGGAAGGCTTAAATTATAATTTACCCTGAGAAGATCAGGGGTTCATAGAAGGTTAATGTTGGTGGCTCCGGTTTCAGGCGGCATGTGATGGGGTAGATGGGAATGGTTTCTACATCTGTGGAGTGGGAGTCTGACTCCTGTCTATCTGCGCATGTGGTGGTGTGTGTCTGGCCAAGTGTCTGTGTGCCTTGTGTGTGACCGCCCTTATCTGGTTCTGGGTGCTGTGGACGGGAGACAAAGGGGGTGTGTCTGGCTCTGGATACCTACGTGTCTTGCAGTTGTTGTCCTGTGTATATTCTTTGGGGTTTTGGGGGTTTTTTGTTTTGTTTTTACTATTATTATTTTCCTTTATTTTTTCTTTTAAATTGTCTTCAGGAGCTGAGTGGTGGGGAGAGGAGGCTTCCAGCCTTTTTCCAGTGTCAAAGGACAGGAAAAGACGAGAGGGTGTGCTAGTCCGTACATGAACACACGAGTTCTGCTTAGTTGGGACTATGAAGCTGGAAGAGGAACCAACACTAGGAATTCATGTCTACACACTATACTCTGGCTTACTCTGTCCCCATGGTGCCTCAGTTTCCCCCATACTGTGGGAGTGGTGTAGGCATTAACTTTTGTCTCCCTTTCAGCAGACCCAGTGTATGGCTTCCTCCCCACTAAGTAACTAAGTAACTACCTACTCCACCCTTCTACCACTGGCTCAGCTCCTCAGCAGAGTAAGCAGCACCCTCTGGGTACCAGCGTAGGAAGAGCATCACAACAGGAGGCTGGCAGATACTTGTCTGAGCTCCCCCCCCCCTTTAGATGTGTGACCTTGGACAAGTCACTTCTGTAAAATGAGAAGACTGCATAACAGGCTTTCAAAGATCACAACCACCTCTGCTTGTCTGGTGCTAGGATGTGACCTTGAATGACCTCTCACAGCCTGGGGCTTGTTTTGCTGACCAGGGAGGCCGAGGGCTGTGGCTGGTGTCCCTGGGACCTCTCTCTGCCTTGACAGAGGCCAACACCTAACTACAGGAGAGAAGGAAGTCTGGTTCCCTGGAGAGATGGGAGGTGTCTGTCAGCAGGGGCTGGGAGCATGGGGGAGAGACACACAAGAGCTCTAATGGCAATGAACTGTGAGCTAGGTGCTGACCAAGCCCCTTTCCTGCCTGGGGCCCCTAGGAGCCAAGAGCTAGGGCCAAAGAGAACGGAGACCAAGACTTCAGATAAAGCCACGCATGCACGGTGTGTGTGTGTGGGGGGGGGGATATTAAACAGATGTAGTTGGGACTGGCCTCTTCAGCTTCATGGAGACCAGTTGCAAATGACCTCCGCCCCGTTTCTGCTTCTTGGGACCTCTGCCTTTCCCTTTTCCTTCCACGAGCCCTTTGTCCCTTTCCTCTGTCCCCTCCAGGCTGTCCCTTCCATAGTGATACAACGCGTCATTTCTTTCCCTCTTCTTCCCCCAGCACCACAGCCCCTTGCATGGGGAGGAAGGAATACAGGTCCTGATACTGGGCAGGGAAATGGGGAGGGGATGCTCTGGGAACTCAGACCTCCTGTTTACAGACACTCTTGGCACCTGCTGACAGGGCCCTGCAGGTAACCATGGCAATCAGGTGAGGAGCCAATCAGTGCCTCTTGTGGCTTTCTGAGGCCCCTAGGGATGGGGATAGGGAACAGGGAGGCTCTCTGCTCCCAGGGGAGACAAGGAGCTTTTCTCCTTCCCTTACTACCCTGAGCCCAAAATGGGACCTAGGGGCTGCTCTTGTGTGAAACCTCAGAAAGATGAACCGAGTGGGGTTTGTGTGGCTTCTCTATCTGCAAACAAAGTGAGCGTGTGCCTGAAGTGGCTGAGGCATTGCGAAGAGCGTGTGTGTGTGTGTGTGTGTGTGTGTGTGTGTGTGTGTGTGTGGTGCACGTGTCGGGGAGACCTTACCGTAGCAACCGAGATTCCCTGGCTGGATCCTACCTACTCTGATAGTTTACATCTCTGTGTGCCTCTGGATGCAGACACACACACAAGGCAAGCAGTCACATGAAGTACCTTTGGAAGCCCAGACAGCACGTACACACGGTGGCTATTACCCATGCTCAAAGAGACAGCCACTTGGAGTTTCTTCTATCCTCTGGATGGTTGTAATAATATTTGGGCTTCTTGCCAGGGACTATGTTACCATGGAAACAACTAAACAGTAGAGTAGCCAACAGCCTCTTTGAAATTGTGAAGGGGGACCCATGCAGGGAGGACCAGCTAGGGCCACCTATAGGGGCAGAAACTTTGCAGACCAGGGGTGGCTGCCTCAGCACCTCTGGCTGGCTTGTTCCCCTCTTTCTTTTCTGCAGCTTGGTGTCTGTCCCAAGTGTGGCCTTTGTGTCTACCCATCTATCCCAGTCTCTGGCCAGGTGCCCTGGGGCCTTACTGGCTGTTTGGGTCCAGGCCAGGCTCATCCTGGGGTCTCTATAGAAACTGCTGATCCTGGCTGTGAATTTCTTGTCCTAGAAAAGCCAGCGTGGTGGCTTTAGAAATCTTTCTGGAAAAGAGAGAAGGATGTATGTTGTAAAGGAGTCGCTGGGGCTTAGCCAGCCTCTCAAGCCCGGCTCCTGGACTTTTGCTGTGGGAGAGACAGAAAGAGGCAGCCTGCTCCGGTCCAAAGTCAGAGCCAGCTTTGAAACGACCTTGGCCTGCTAGGGCCTGGCCAGGTGCACTGTAGAGCTAGGGATAGAGAATGCTCGCTGCCCAGTTTTGGCAGGTGTCTAGGAGAGCCTGTGGTTTGTTGGTGGATAGGTTGTGAACGGGTGGGAGAAGTCACCACGTTAGGGTGTGGTGGGATCTCAGCGGCACATGAAGCAATTCTGTGTGTTTGTGAAAATAGGTTCCTAGACCACGCACATACTGGAGAGCACTCAGTGTGCTACTGGGAGACGGATACTATGGGGGGGGGGGGCGGTTCTCACACAGGGCAGTAAAGGTCTTCTTGCCGGGCTCTTGGACTACCTGTAGAGTCCCTGCAGTGCCAGGCTGGGCCTGCAGCTCCTTCAGAACTTGGGACATAATGAAAACCAGCTTCAGGGTTTCCAGCCAGAAGGCCAGGTCAGCACATGGTAGCCTTGCAAGGAGCTGTATGTGTGGAGTGTGATGGGCCTGTGTCCTAACGTCCCTCAAGGCTTCCCCATGACAAATCTCTCATTGCTGGGGGCAGCGATTCATTTTGGTCTGTGAATGGAGTTGTCTGGACAATTTCTCATAGCTGTTAGTACTTGGTAAATATTTGACCACTTGAATAGATACAATTGGAATCAGAATATTGTTAAATTTTTTTATTACATTTAGTGCATGTGTGTGTGTGTGCGCACACGTATGCGTGCGTATGTGTATATATTTGCAAGTAGCCAAAGGACAACTTGCAGCCCTTGTTTTTTTTCTCTCCTTCCACCATGTGGGTCACTAGGCTTGGCTGCAATCACCTTTACCTAGCGAGCCCTCTCACAGGCCCATGGCTCCCAGGAAGATCTTTTAAAGCGCCGTTACCTTTAGTTTTCCCGCCCTCCCACATCTATCATCAAGAGTTGGTTAGTGTTTCTTACGGTCTGGCTTCAGTCTTTCCTACTGCTTCTGAGATGGTCCACAACTTGTTTCTCAAAGTTACAGACACTTCCCGAGCCCCCAACACCCAGTGAACACTCAGAGGGAGGCCCAGAAACAGCCAGCCTCAAACATGTGCCTGGTTCCACATCTGAGACAGAGAAAATGGGGGGCGGAGGGGCGTGGGCTCAGGAAAGCTATATTGAGGGAAGCAGTGCGGGGAAGTGGCTGGGTTTCTGATCCCATTTCTGTTTCCCAGGGTGACACTTCCCAAGTCTCCTCAGTCCTGACCCCTGGCATCATGCATCGAACCACACGGATTAAAATTACGGAGCTGAACCCTCACCTCATGTGTGCCCTCTGTGGGGGCTATTTCATCGATGCCACCACCATTGTGGAGTGCTTGCATTCCTGTGAGTTCAGTGCTGGGGTGCTCAGCGTGAGGACGTTGCCTGGGAGAGCAGACCCTGGGTCACCAAGAAGGGACAAAGTGGGGGTAGTCCTGGACCCAGGGACAGTGTTAGGAACCTCCCCTTTCTATGATAGCTCTGCCTGAAGTTTGACCCCTGAAGGCTCGGGGGTCACTCACTTGTACTGTCAGATTGGTCACAAGAGATCCAGGACCCGTGGGATGTCTTAGCAGGTTGGCTAAGAGGAGCCGAAGGCTTGGTACACTGTGTATGTTAGGCAGGACAAGGACACCCTCCTGTTTCACACAGAGACATTGGGCCTAAGGGTAGACAAGGCGCAAAAGGCCAGATGTGTGAGCACACTGCCATGTTGGGTCTGGCAGCCGTCCTGAGTGGGAAGGCCTGGGCAGAAAGGGGTTCTGATTGTCCTCTCTCTGTCCACACCCCAAGTCTGCAAAACCTGCATCGTGCGCTACTTGGAGACCAACAAATATTGCCCCATGTGTGACGTCCAGGTTCATAAAACCCGACCACTCCTGAGCATCAGGTGGGCTTGTGTCCCCTTCCCCTGCCTCCCAGTGATTTCCAGCTTGACCTAGGCTAAGAAATGGCCAACTGAGAACCCGCATGCCTGGGTGCTGGGTTTAAAGGGGTACAATGCTGAGCCCAGGCTGGAGGGATGAAGGTCCCGCGGCTGCCAACGTTCATGTACGTTCCTTCCCAGGTCGGACAAAACCCTCCAGGACATTGTCTACAAGTTGGTGCCTGGGCTTTTTAAAGGTACCCCGAGCCCCTGTGCTGTCCTGCACACCTCCCCCATTTTCCAGCTGTTGCCCGCTCATGCCCGCCTCCTTCCTCTAGATGAGATGAAACGGCGTCGGGACTTTTATGCGGCATACCCCCTGACGGAGGGTGAGTGTGCCCACGCTCAAGCAGGTTCTGGTTCCTGAGAGCCTAGAGCCGCCCCAGCTGTGAGGGTTAAGGGTACCAGCTTTGGCCCGCCCATCTCCACCAGACCTCCCTGCTAGAGAGCGTTGTCCAGAGCGGGAAGGGCTCAGCCTCTGAGCCAACCACTCCCATTCCCTAGGTCCTCAGTCCCTTGCTCTATCTTTGACCAACCCCTCTGAGCTGTCTCCCTCTACAGTCCCTAATGGCTCCAACGAGGACCGCGGCGAGGTCCTAGAGCAGGAGAAGGGGGCTCTGGGTGATGATGAGATTGTCAGTCTTTCCATTGAGTTCTACGAAGGAGTCAGGCAAGTTCAACCTAAGCCTTTTTTCCCCCGGCCCGTCCTCCAAGACCCCGTCAGACCTGTGCATTTGACCCAGCAAGTGCACGATCTTCTGCTCCCTTCCTTTTCCTCCAGGGACCGAGAGGAGAAGAAGAGCCTCATGGAGAACGGGGATGGGGACAAGGAGAAGGTGAGTGTTGGGCTTCCTCAGGAGTGAGCTGCAAGTGCCATGGGATAGACCTTCTCACAGGGACCTCTTCCCCACAGACAGGGGTGCGCTTCCTGCGATGCCCAGCAGCCATGACTGTCATGCACCTCGCAAAGTTTCTCCGCAACAAAATGGACGTACCCAGCAAGTACAAGGTGAATGCCTGCACCGTCTCAGACATCGGGGGTCCCATCAGTGTGTCTGGTTGGTGGGCATCCATCCATCACATGGTTATATAGCTGGACCTAAAGGAACGGGTAGGCTAGCCCAATTGTTTAAGGATAAGATAGTCTGTAATTATTGTAGCTGGTGTGCAAAAAGCCCGAGACCAGGGAAGTGTGCATCCAAAAAAAATGTTGGGCCTTCAAGAGGGTCAGGGAGACCGGAGAAATGGCTCAGTGGTTAAGAGCACTGGCTGCTCTTCCAGAGGACCTGGGTACAATTCCCAGCACCGACGTGGCAGCTCACAACTGTCTGTAACTCTAGTTGCAGGATCTGACACCTTCACACCAGTGCACATAAAAGAAATAAGTTAAATAAACTAAAAAAAGGGGGGGGGCTGAAGAGATGGCTCAGAGGCTTCCAGAGGTCCCGAGTTCAATTCCCAGCAACAACATGGTGGCTCACAACCATCTGTAATGAGATCTGGTGCTCTCTTCTGGCCTGGAGTCATACATGCAGACAGAACACTGTGTACATAATAAATAAATAAATCTTAAAAAAAAAAAAAAAAGAGGGTCAGGGAGCTCTTGGACACAGTAACACAGGCTCCCTTGTAGGTCTGAGTCAGCTGACCCTGCTTCTTTGACACTGAGATGTTGCTCCTGCGAAGGCTTCACTTAGCCCACCCCTGTGGCAGGGAGACAGTAGGCGCTGCTGCATTCACCAGTTAGGGCAGATGCAGGGGTGGGGCCATCACAAGCAAGGACCTCAGTCAAGGGGGTCCCTTTGGCCTTGCTGGCTCTCTAGGAGACCTAGAGCGAAGCTTCCCCCTCCCCACCAGCAGGTTGAGGAACAGTCTGGAAGGGAAGTCACATGCACAGTAAGGAGGGGCCTCCTGCAAGCCACCTTTTGGTTTGCTCATGTCCAGCCCCCAGGGGCGCAGCTGCCAGGCCTCATGGTGGCATTTTTCCCCTCCAGGTGGAGATCCTCTATGAAGATGAGCCCCTGAAGGAATATTACACCCTCATGGACATTGCTTATATCTACCCCTGGCGGAGGGTGAGCCTGTGACCAGGTGGTACAGGTGGGGGCAGTACCAGGGAGGAGGTCCTACTGGGCCTGGCACTGGTCAGTGGCCACAGTGACATGAGACACCCTCTTATGTCAGGCAGTTCATCCCTTGTCTCTGGAGCCAGGCCTGGCCCTGGTGGCTCATCATACCAGGTCAGCGCTGGGCCATTTCTTTTTCTGTTTGAGATAGGTTCTCTCCTTGGCTAGCCTCAAACTTGGTATGAGGTCCAATCCTCCTGCTTCATCCCCCACCCCCCACCCCACCCCGGGTGCTGAGTACCACACCTGTTGCTGATGCCCGCCGCTGGCTCTTACCACCCAGACTTGGGGTCAGCAGTAAGGGTGGCCACTGTGGCATATGATGGCCTTACACCCCTGCCTCCATCTCTTACACTCTTTCTTCACTGGGTCTACTCTCATCTGACTCTCCACTCTACAGGCCCCTCTCCTCTTCAAAGTTCAGACCTTCTCCTCTGCTTCTGGTTGGGTCCTGGTTTGGATGCAGGGATGGGTGGCCCCTGGTTGTTCTTTCTGCTGACATTTTCTTTTCTTATTGCTGGCCTCTTCCTTTTCACCACAGAATGGGCCTCTCCCCCTCAAGTACCGTGTCCAGCCAGCCTGCAAGCGGCTCACCCTGCCCACAGTGCCCACTCCCTCAGAGGGCACCAACACCAGCGGGGCATCAGAGTGTGAGTCTGTCAGCGACAAGGCTCCCAGCCCTGCCACCCTTCCGGCCACCTCCTCCTCCTTGCCCAGCCCTGCGACCCCATCCCATGGCTCTCCCAGCTCCCACGGCCCCCCAGCCACCCACCCTACCTCCCCCACTCCACCTTCGACCGCCTGTGGGACCACAGCTGCTACCAACGGGGGCACTTCGAACTGCCTGCAAACGCCATCCTCCACCAGCAGGGGGCGCAAGATGACTGTTAACGGAGCTCCTTGCCCCCCTTAACTTGAGGAAAGGGACCCTCTCCCGCAGCAGCCACCTCTCCCCTTCCCTTCTACTTTTTCTGGTCCCCTTTTTCCACCTTTGACTTTCCTGGTTCCTCCCATCTTCAGAGTGGGAGGTGGGTTTTATAAATAAATCTATCTATATATATATAAATATATATATGTACATAGGAAAAACCAAATATACATACTTATTTTCTATGGACCAACCAGATTAATTTAAATGCCACAGGAAACAAACTGTATGTGTGTGTATGTGTGTGAGTGTTTGTGTCTAGGGGGTCTTCTGTAGTTTGCTCTGCTCTTCTGGGGGGGGGGTACCTGGTGGTCTTAAGAGGCCACTGGAAGTATTAGAGCCCTCCCCTGTATCCATTCTGCTTCCCAGGGCAGAGGGCATTTTGGGTCTCCTAGCTGACGAGATAATGGGGTCCACCTCTAAGCACCCCCATTGTTGAATGTCCAGAGAATTGCTAAGACAGTGCCTTTAAAAAGTGCGGTTTGTCCTCTGGCTGCGAGGATCAAGTGGCCATGGAGAAGGCATCTCCCTCACCTCCTTGGACAGTGGGACCCTTGTGCAAAGAACAGATGGTTCTACCTTTTTTATCCCCCGCCCCCCTTCTTTTTTTTTCTTTTTTCCTGTGTGTGGCCTTTGTGTCCATCATTTTTGTCTTTATGGAGAAGATTCAGGCTGTGGGGAGACCCCAGCTCTGCAAAGTCTATGTGTGACTTTACTTCTACCCTACCCTGACCCAGGAACCCCTACTAGCAAGACTGGAGGTAACACTTCAATGGGGGCCTAGAGTGAAGGGTTGGGGTGTGGAACCCCAGACAAGCACAGGCTTGAGTTCTGCCAAAGGCCAACAGCTTTCTAGTCCATTTCCCCTCCCCTAGCCGAGGCCAAGCGGGGACAGGACAGAGGCATTAGAAGCACAAGGAAATCAAGTGGAAGCTGACCCCACTCTACCTAGTGGACCACCTACTAGGGGCCGACCTTGCCTACCTGGTTTTCCTCAAGTGTACATAGATGGGGGGAAGGGAGGGGAGGAGACCAGGGTATTGGCTCAAGTATGTGAGGTCCTGAGCCCGTGGGGTCTCTTTCCACCATGTCCTGAGTCTGAGGTTCTGTGACTGTACCCACCTGTCCTGGGTCATTTGTATCTCTTGGTTTTGTAATAAATGCTGCATACTCTTGAGCCTGTGGTTCTTTGGGGCAAAGGGAGGAGGGAGGAGGTGCTCCCTAGCCCTACCGTGCTGACTGAGTAGATCTGAATGGCCCCGCTTTGGCCAGCTCTGTCTCCACAGATCATGCTCTTGCAAGAGGCGGTGGGAGGCTTCCCAGTGACCACAGGGACGCTCAGAGGGTGGTCTCACTGTTTAATGACAGCTTTGCCAGGGGACCCAGGAGGCCTGCTCTCAAATGTGTAACAGGAGAGACAGGGTTTTCAGGGGACAGTTGCTAACAGCAGCCACGGTCCTTGGAGCCCTTTCTCCATGCCTCAGCACTGTGGCCGTCACAGAGGGGAAGCTTGCAGCGGGCCAGGAGCCACGGGACCCCTCAGAGTGGGGAGCCCACTTCTGCTTTCTGTACCTGCTCGCTCTTGTGGGTACCATCGCAGTAAGGAGGACGCTGGGTGGCCTTGCAGGTACACAGGGCCACTGTGCGAGTCTCTTGGACTTTGAACTTGAGCGGAGAAAGGCCGGTGCGCTGGAAGAAGTGGGAGCCATCACAGAAGGGCTGGTGGGAGAAAAAGAAGTCAGAGTAGGGCAGGAGGAGAGCTGACCACAATTATTGTTCCCAGTGCTGCAAGGTCGGGGTCACAGGAAGGCTGACACGAGAAAATAATGGCCACCGTACGGTAGTATAAGTATTTCTCATTGTTCGTCTTTGGGAAAGCCAAAAAGTCAGAACAATTCAATTCGGAAGGGGAGCTGGGCCTCAGGTAGAGGCAACATTAACACAAACAAGGCTGGAGTTTTTTGTCGTTTGGCTTTTATGTGTTTCAAATTTGGTGTGTGTGCGCATGCGAGCACACGCTCATGCCCACACATAGAAGTCACGGGGCGAATGTGGGAGTTGGTTTTATCCTTTCACCCTGCGGGCGCTGGGGATCACACAAGTCAGCCAGGCGCTCTGACAAGTGCCTCGAACCGCCGAGCACCTTACCAGTTCCCCTCTTTTATTTTCAGATAAGTTCTCCTGCAGTCCAGGCCTACCTTGAACAGGCTCTGCTGCCTGAGGCTGGCCCTTAACCCTTATCCTCCTGCCTCCACCTTCCAGGTGCTAGGACTTCAGACGGGTGTCACACCCTGTTCATTCCACGTGGGGACAGACTCCAGGGGCTTCCGTGCCCATGAGACAAACATCTAACCGCGGGGCTACATCCCACCCAGAGTTTTGTTTTATTTATTTTTTTTAGTGGCTGAGTGACTCATGAAAGTGACATTCTTCTCAATGTCCCCCAGGGTGAAAGAGCCCAGCAGCAGGCCCTTCCCAGAGTTCAGAAAACAGCAAGGGGTGTCTGTGTCAACCTGCCTGCCTGGAGTAGCATCAGTAATGCATGCACCGTGTCCCTCCAAAGAGGATGATGAAGACGGGCCCAAAGGGGAGAGGCAGACCCACACCCTCCTAAAGGGCACAGAGTAGGTGTGTGCAGCCACCCCACCCACAGCCCTCTGGCTGGCGTGCCCTTGAAAGTGCCCCACCCTCTGGAATATCTGTTCAAAGGCCACAACAAACGTGTGGCAAAGTAAGCCTTGGGATCTGGGCTTCTCACGCCAATCACAGGGCAGAGTTCTCCGGAAAGAGGGAGGCTCCCGCTCCAGCAGCAAAAGAAGTCCTTTCTGAGGTGAAAAGAGAGCAGGCAGAGAGACCTGAGGAAGACGGCAGAACCTTCCCAGCAGTGAGGGCCAAAGCCTGGCGTGTGGGCAGAGATGCTGCCCACGGGGAGGAAGAGGGAAGAACATTCAAGTCCTTGGTGCCCCGGAGCTGGCCCCGAAGTGCACACACAGGGAGGAGGGGCTGGAAGGAGAGGAGACTGAGCCAGTCACAGCACAGGCATCTTCCCGCCTCTGCTTCGAATGCTTCTCAGACACAAGGGATACACTATGAGCTGGTCTTTTGCTATCAACCCCCGCCTTGTATCGGGGTATATACAGAAAGAAGGGAAATAAAGATGGGCTGAAAGTTCCCATGCTGACCCCAAGCAAGAGAGAAAACTGTGGAGACTGTGTGTGTGTGTGTCATCTCCCATCCAAGCACTAACCAGGCCCACCCCTGCTTAGCTTCTGAGGTCAGGCTTGTTCAGGGTGGTATAGAACTGGGTCACAACCAAGTGAAAGGCAACTGGAATAACTCACTTGTTTCTTGCTTCGGCCGCATACACACCACCTGTAGGTTTTTCCTGCAACAAGCTCCAACTTTATGGGTGTTTTCTGTGCCACCACGGGCTTGGCTGGTTCTTTGGGGAACCATCGGGCCTATGGCCAGGGAAGATAAGAGGCTCAGGGTCATCCCAACCTTGGAAGTAGTGTAAGTTTGCATGATCCCAGGTACCTTCTTCTAACCCTGGGGCTTGGCTTATCATGTGGCTGACATCCCCTCCTTGTCTTCTGCCCTCTAGTCCACCAAACCTTCCCTAGAGCCGGCTGGGAGCAGGGGTGGTCCCGGTCGCTGTCTTCGATGTAGCCCTGAGATTCCAGAAATTGACGGGACTTGTGTCCTGAGAGAAGGCGTTCTTGTACTCACCAACCAAGAGGAGATTTCCCGCTTCTGGCACAGCTTCGACAAGGCCGGCAGACAGATGTGATTTGGAAACAGAAAAATAAAATCAGTGGAGAAGGGTGGACGCCGGAAGCCCATCTGGGAAGGAAAAGATCACGGGCTAAGGGGGCGTGGGAGCGACAAAAAGATTGGGAAAAGGGTCGCAGTAGAGGCAGGTCTTGGCATCCACTAGGAGAGTCCTCTGGAGAAAAGACTGCCCCGAGGGACCGCGCGGCCGAGAGGCGGAGCCTGGCCCTGGCCGGGGAGGCGGGGCTGAACGGCCCGGGGTCACCAAAGAGGGAACGCTCACCGAGGCCCAGCGCATGACCACAGCGTGCAAGTTCTTCCCCACGCCACCGCGCATGGGCGTTCTGCGCACCGCCGCGGCCCGTTCGGGTCGCCACCCTCTCCGCTCCTCCTCCCCCACCCCTTTCTCTCTCTCCCCCTCCCGGAAGACGCCGCCCGGTCCCGCGCAGGAGGGGCAGGCAGTGCAGCCCTGGAGCCCGCAGGTGCCGCCCTGGCCCTGCGGAGTAGGAGGCAGCGCAATTAGAAACACAGGCAGTGTGGAGATCTATCACCCAGCAGGGCTCGGGTGCCTGCATCTTCACCTGCACCGCGTATGATGTGCCTTCCGGTTTAAACTATTCCTCCAAGTACTTGAAAAAACCGGTCACTGACCATATACACCCACTTCCTCCTCCCACGGGCCCTCGGAGTTGGCACCCATTTCCCTCCCTTCAGTGAAACCAGACAAAGCAAGGTCTCTTTGGATTGTTTTTTTTTTTTTTTTTAGTAAAACATTCTTTTATTAAAAGAACAAGTGCTGTTTACGAACTGCCCTTCGTACAAATAACATCCGTTATACAAAGATACAAGACCCAGGCTATGCACAATTCCAGGCTTGGAGGTCGCAAGGGAACACTGCCTCTTGGGCTGAGGATATAAAGGTTTCAAAAGAATGAAAAATGAGCCCCTGGGTTTGCAATCTGTGGCTTCCCTTCCTTGCTCCCCTAGGAAGGGTCTGCTACATGGAAACAGGCTGGGATGGAAGAGAGCCTGAGTTCGGTCTGCAGCCCCAAGTGGGGCTGGAGAAAGTGAACACAGGAGAATGGGGGCGGCCCTCAGTCTCCACCTCTTCAGTAGGTCAAGACAAGGTGGTCTGGTGGATATTTGAAACACACCCGCCATCAAGGAGGAAGTGAGTAGAGGGACCAGAAGGGCTCCCCAACCCCACCTTCCTCCAAGCGGGTGAAGTTCCGTCCACTGGGCACCCCTCCCCAGGAACCAGCTGCCTGTTTTTTCCCTTTGGCCCACTGTACTCTTAAAAGATGTTGGAAAGCAGCAAGGAAGCCTGTGTCTTTGAAAATCTGTCAGCATCCCAGTTTGGGAGAGGGAGATGTAAATGTTGCCCTTTCTTTGGGCTCCCCTCATTTGTCTAGCCCCTTCCTAGGAGTCGAGGGTGGGCACTCCCTGGGTCTCAACACAGTAAAGGGAACGGGTCACCAGCCTCAAGATCAGGGCACCTAGGGGCAGCGGTAGACCCAAGAGCCTGAGGGAGAAACAACAAGCTGGGATGAGGGAGAGGGGATGGGGAGATAACAATTTATTCTTTTTAAAGGCAACCCTTAAAGTGTCATTGTCTCTGGAGAGGATTCGTCAGCTGGGAGCTAAGACAGTCAGTGCTACATAGATACCTTCCCACCATGGGCACCATCCTAGACTCGCAACCGCACCATCACACATACCACACACACACACAGGGACAGCCAGCCAACTAGCTGCAGCTAGAAGGCTGGACAATGGAACAGGAATGACCTGGCTAGGTACTGAGGCTCATCGCTGCTGTCCCTCCTAGGCTTAGAGCAAGCAATCACCTGTAAAGTCAGCTCCAATGACCTCCTAACTACAGTGGAATCCCATTCAGCACTGAGATCCACCAGCCATGACCGCCCTGGTGGGCACAGACTCGGCATGCATTGCTCATTCATCTCTTCTCACTGAGGGTGGTGACATCAAGATCCACTCATGCGTTCTCAGACTCCACTTCCGCTCTGCAAACCACATCCTCCCCTTCCCCCAGACAGAGATGGCTCTAATTCTGCATCTTTCCCCTTTACCCCACCAAAGCTCTTTATCAAAAAATGGACCAAAGCCAGACATGGTGGTGCACACCTTTAATCCCAGCACACAGGAGGCAGAGGCAGGTGGTACTCTGAGTTTGAGGCCAGCCTGGTCTACATAGCACGCTCCAGGACAGCCAGAGCTACATAATAGAGTAGACCTTGTCCCAGGAAAACAAAAACAAAAACCACTAAGACTGTAAGATGTGAGGTCATTCTTGCCATCCTGCCGTGTACTCTGTTCCTAATTTTCCCTATGTCATTTCACCAAGACTGTCACAATTTCCCTCGTCTCAGTACAGGGGCAACACCACCTAGTAGTGGTGGCAGTACACGCCTTTAATCCCAGAACTCAGGAGGAAAAGGCAGGCAGATTTCTGAGTTTGAGTTCAGCCTGGTCTACAGAGCAACTTCCAGGACAGCCAGGACTACAAAGAGAAACCTTGTTTTGAAAGCTAAAATGGTGGTAGTTGGTAGTGCACGCCTTTAATCCCAGCACTTGGGAGGCAGAGGCAGGCAGATCTCCGTGAGTTCGAGGTCAGCCTGATCTACAGAGTGAGTTCCAAGAGAGGTTCCACTACACAGAAAAACCCTGTCTCGAAAAACCAAAAATCAAAACCAAACCAAAGAAAAAAAGAAAAGAGCAGCACCAATCTATGCGAGGCCCAGAGCTCTCAGCATCCTGGCCCAAAAGAGGAAGAAGAGCTCTGCAAAGTTGAGAGCAGAGTTCCAGAGATCAGGGTGACTGGGGCCAAGGAGCATCTGGGGCGGGGCACCTAGGGCTCCTACTTACTCCACACGTGACAGCCTTACAGACATCACAGCAGAGACTACTTGGTTCTGAATGGTGGCTGGGGTAACGGCGTGGGCCTGGATGAGCAAGCCGTCTAAGAATCACTGGCTCTTAGACTAGAAGTTAAGAGCTGAAAAGATGAGGACCATGCCTTTCCGATACTAAGCAGTTAGAAAAGTGAGTATTTCTGAGGTCAACACAACTGACCCCTCAAACAAATCCTTCCTAGTGCCAAAGAACTTGCTCCTGAAGGTCCCCAACCCACCCTAGTATCTTACAAAGTCTTATCAACAGGAATATTATTTTCCATACCAGAAAAAAAAAACAGTTGAGCAGCACAGGCAAAAATATATCTGCACTACGTTTCTGTCATTGCCAAAAATATACACATCTTTTTTTATTACAAAAAAAAAAACCAAACAACCCCAAAAACAAAACCCAAACAGAAACACACCAAAATGCACACATGCAAAGGGACCCACAGACATGAACATCAGGGAAAACTGGCCCTCAGTCCCAGCCAGTGCAACCAAAAGGGACACAGGCCTCCATGGCTGCGCTTCCATGACCCACTCAATGTTTCTCACAATGGCCTTGGGCAGACTGACTCTGCTGCCCACGACCACACCCTGGAAAACAGCTGGTGGGTGAAAGGGACAGTGGTTAGCTTAAGTGGCTCTACTAGCTGGTGAAGGTGGGGCTGAAGAGGCAGACTAGCTACTTCAGGGAGGGAGACTTCTGTTAGGAGAAGTGGTGCTTTACCCCTCCCTCATCTCTTGTGCCAGCAAAGACCAGATACCAGTGGGGGGAAGAGGCCCTGAGGGGCCCTGAGACAGAGTGGGGTCCAGAGGAGGGAAGGTAGGATATTACCCTGATTCAGAGCCTTCAGCCCCCAGGAATTCTCCAATATTGGAGTACTGTTCTTTTTTTTTTTTTTTTTTTTAATTTTTTTAAGTTTACAATTCATGCCCTGGAAAAGGACTAGAGCTGAGAAGGGGGTACAGGCTACAAGAGCTAGGAAGTCCTGCTCTGGTTCTGGCCAATGCTCCTGTCCTTGCCCTTGGCTGCCCCAGGTCCAGAGAAAGAGGTGACAGACAGACAGGTTAAGCAGACTGACCATAAACACACACTCACACTCACACACACACTCTCACGCGCTGTGGAGTCAGGCAGCTCCCTCTCCCCACCCTCGGCACTCCTCAAGCCAATAGTGCAAAAAGGGGCAGGACACCAAGGACAGTGAGGGACGACCCCCCCACCCCTGCCCAGCCCCATCATGGGGCCCCAAGAGGTGCTATCCTGCCCTTCCTCAGCCCCCCACATCTGTAGGCTTTTCCAAGCTCAGCTTGTGACCCTCAGCGGGGAGGGATGATGGGAAGCAGTCAAAGGGACCCCTTCTGCTGGGAAGACTCTGAAGGTCAACTGGGACCAGCCCTTTTTCCATAAGGAATACCACACAGGGAGGCCCAAGGGCCTACTCTGCTCCTTCCCCATTCAAGTGCTGACTGGTTTACGTGGTAGGTCCAACCAACTCTCCACTTCCTATGCCATGACCTGCTTTGCTCTTTGGGGGGGCCCCTAGGCATCTGCAGAGGATGGGGGCTCCTAGGCAGGCTTGGAGCCTGTCCTCCCCGATCCTCACTCCTGGAGCAGCCAGTGCAGTACGGGAACAGGCCAGGTGGAAGGGCTTCCCTCCAGTCTCTCTCCACAGCACCTGGAACTCCAGGCACACACTCCCTGGGCATCAGCACAGGCTCTGGGCCTGGCCCTCCAGAGTCCGGGCCCAGGTACCCATTCCAGGCAAGGACCCTCAAGCCATGTAGGGGTCAGGAGAGGCAGGGTCGAGTTAGCCTTTTTCCTGGCTGGCTGAGGCTCCTTTGTCAGTGGTCTGGAAAGACAGGAAGGGAGATTTTGAGTATTGGAGGCATCTGGCCCTAATGCCCAGGTAGAACAGGGACAGCAGAGGCTACTGGAGCAGAGTATGGAGCAGCCAGGCCTCTGCCTGTCCGCAGTGTGTGGAGTGAGAGTGCCTGACTTGTGCCCAGAGCTGGCTCCCTGGGCTCAGGTGAGTGAGTTCTCCAAGAAGAAACAGGCCTGCCCAGAAGAGCATCTCTTTCTAACTGCCGCACACAGGAGGGAAACAGCATTTTCTAACTACTCCTCCCACTGGAAAGCTGGTTTTTAAAACAGACTTTAAAACAAAAAAATCACAGTCAATGTGTATATGCATGTGTACACACACGTGTGCACAACAGAGGGAAGATTCCCGGAGTCAGCTCTCTCCTCCAGTACATGAGTCCCTGAGACCAAATTCAGGTCATCAGGTTTGGTGGCAAGCACCATTTTATACTTTGAGCCATCTCACCAAGCTGGAAGGCTGTTTTCTCTAAATGGCTCAGAGTGGCCTTTCTTGCCTCTGAAGAAGGGAACCCCAATGGACACTAAGGTCCTGCTGTCTGCAGCTGGCTATCTGGTTGACCTAGGGGTTCCCGCCTCCCACTACAGATCTATCTGATGTCACTGTAACCATCCTTCTCTGCTTGTCCCTTAGAAGGGATCTCTGCTTGTCCCTTAGAAGGGACAAAGGAAGACCCAGGCCCCTTACTCACCCCTCCTTTGGGGCCACTCCCACTGGCATCTGCCCCGGGTAGGCTGAGAAAGGGGTTGGTCTGGGCAGTGAGGACTGGCGGTCCGCCTGCTGCTGCTACTGCTGCAGCCGCAGCTGCTGCAGCCATGAGACTTGTATTGCTGCCGAGTGAAGGGGCCACCAGGGCTCCAGCAGGCAGCAGGGGTGGGGCTGATGCTGTAGGCAGCAGGCCAGGGGTGCCCGCAGACAGCAGTGGGGTGGAGCTTCCAGCCAGCAGACTGGCCATGGGCAGCTGGGAGCCCCCAGCCATCTGCAGCCGTTGCAGCTCCCGTTTCTGCTGAATCTGCTGGATCATCTGGTAGACCACAGTCTGGTGCTCCTGCAAGGACAGACTGCTCAGTGGTAGTGGCCCTGCTGTCTTCCCCAAGGCTACCTGCCTTGCCAGACCAGGGCCCCTCATACGGGAACCCTAAGGCCCACGACAGGAAGACCAAGAGTCTGTCTCTACTTTGGCACTCTGGGCCTCTGTCTCCCCATCTGGACAAGTAAAGGACTACCTGTGGCCAGGTAAGCAGCTGCCAACTGAGCACCTGGGCAAGTGCAGGCCATACACAGCTCTGGCCCTGCCCACCATGTCAGGTCCTCAGTCCCTACGACAACCACACTCCAAACAGAAGGCACGGAAGTGGGACAACAATCACCAAGCACTTCCCTTCTTTTTTATTTTTTTCTTTCTAAAAACTAGTTTGAAAGACTTGGTGGCACTCATGCAGAAGCAGAAGAATCTCTAAGTTCAAGATCAGCCTGGTCTGTAAATGGAGTTCCAGGCCAATCAGAGGTTAGTGAGACACTGCCTCAAAAAACAAAAACAAAGAAAAAAAATTTTGTCTGTGGCCAAGAAAGATGCCTCAATGGCTATTCTTCTAAGGGACCTGGATTTAAGTCCCAGCAGCTACAAAGTAGCTTTCAACAATCTGCAAACAGCCTAGCTCCAGGGTACCCAATGCCCTCTTCAGGCCTCTGTGGGCACTGCACACATGTAGTACACAGGCAGATACATAAAATAAAAATAAATGGAATAGGGGGTGCAAAAAGTTGCTTTGTTTTTGAGGCAGGGTCCCATTCAGGGTTGGCCTCAAACTTGATATGGAGCTGACAATGACCTTGAACTTTCAGTTCTTCTGCCTCTACTTCCCGTGTGCACACTGAGATTATAGGCATAAAACGCCATCCCCAACTATTTATTTTTATCTAACTTTAAAAGGCATTTATTTTCAGTGTCTCAAAAACCAAAATAAAGCTGGGCATGGTGGCACATGCCTGCCCTCAATCCCAGCATTTGGGAGGTAGGGGCAGATGGATCTTTGTGAGTTCAAGGCCAGCCTGGTCTACAAAACAAGTTATGGGACAGCCAAGGCTACACAGAGAAACCCAGTGTGTGTGTGTGTGAGAACAACAACAACAACAAAACACCCAGCTGTCTCAAAAAGAAACAGAGAATAACATTCTGTCAAAGAAATCATGTTATTTCTGTTCCCATAATCGGTTCAACTGCTTCTCTTCTTGAATAATTATTTCTAAGTTACACTTATTTACTTTCTGTGTTAGGGGTATAACTGGTGGTCAGGGACTCTATTCTCCCCTCTCACCGTGTGGGTTCCACGGATGGAACTCAGGTCACTAAGTAGACAGCAAGGTCCATCTTAGGGGGTGGGGTCCTGAAACAGGGTTTCTCTGTAGCTTCGGAGGATGCCCTGGAACTCTCTCTCTGTAGACCAGGCTGGCCTCGAACACAGAAACCTGCCTGCCTCTACTGCCCAAGTGGTAGGATTAAAGGCATGTGGCACCACCACCCAGCTCTGTGGAGTCATCTTAAGAGACTTCTGTTTAGGGTTTTTGTTTTGTTTTGTTTTTTCTTGGTTATTTTATTTCTTTAAGACTCATGTCTTAAAGCCGGGTGGTAGTGGCGCACGCCTTTAATCACAGCACTCGGGGTGGATCTCTGTGAGTTCGAGGCCAGCCTGGTCTAAAAGAGCTAGTTCCAGGACAAGAACCAAAAGCTGTGGAGAAACCCTATCTCGGAAAAAAAAAAAAAAAAAAAAAAAGACTCATGTCTTATTCTGAAGTCCTGGGCAGACTCCAACTCATCATGTGGCCCAGGCCCACCTTGAACTCATGGCCATTCCCCAGCCTCAGGCTCCAAACTGCTTAGACTACTGTCATATACCACACACCACACCCAGAAATCATCATCTGTTCATTTTGTTTATCTGCCTTGAAGGGGATGCAGACAAGGACCTAATGCGTGGGGCGCCACTAAGCCAGACTCAGCTTCAATCCCTCATTTTTAAAAGGTGGTCAAGAGAATGTCACCTGCATAGAAACCTCCCCAAGATCCTGGAAATCCCCCGAAGACTCTTGGGGCAGGGCTGCAAAACTCAGTTCCTACTGGACCTGCCACTCTCCAAACTCTGTTATTGCAATGTGACCCAGCAGCCCCAGCCCAGTGCCCAAGAGGCCCTGAAAACAGTCTGTCTTCCAACTGTTCACAAACCCCCCAGGTTCAAGCCCACCAGCCTGGAGACCCTCTCCATGGTTGCATTCTTGGAGGTAGGCTCTTTGGGTAGGGCTGGCAGGGAATAGCAAGGGAGGGGGTACTACTCACTGGAGTCAGCTGTGGAGAGGCCAGGAGCTGCTGGAGCTGCTGGAGCTGCTGCTCTTGCTGCTGAAGGAGGTGTCTCTGCTGCTCTGTCAGGCTGAGGCCGGTATAACATAGATAAGAAGGTACCAAGAGAAAGACCCCACACCCACGAGTTCCCAGAAGCCCTCAAGCCCAGGCAGATGGACAACCTGTCCAGAAGACTAGCAGTAGGGACATGATTCAGATCTTGTCCCCTGAACTACTCCTGTCCAGATACACCCAGAGCTAAAGTCTGAGGAGTCCCTAAAGTCAACAGACTGCCAGAACTATAAATGCAATAGGGTCATTTTTCCTTTGGGTGGGACAAGGGGGTACTGGGGGGCATCCCTCCCACATCCAGCCTCCCATTCCCTTCCCTAGGGCTGAGCTCTCCCTCACCTGTTGAGACAACCTGGCAGTTGAAGCGTGGGGGCCCCGCCAGCCTGGCTCAAGCCCGCAGGGTTGGGAGCAGCAGCCCCATTCAACCCCCCCAGAAGCCCATTGAGGGGCAGGCTCCCGCTGCCAGCCAGCCCACCCAATAGCCCCTCAGCCATGGGCATGGCCCCCAGCCCCGCTGCTCCGGGTGCCCGGCCCAGCCCATTCTGTGGCTGCGGTGGGAGCGGGGCAGGGGCCCCAGGCAGGGCCAAGGGCAGAGCGGCGGGGCTCTGCTGGAGCAGGGGCAGCGGTGGGGGCGTGCTGTGGAAGGACAGCGATGAGCTGCTGCGGCTCGGGCAGCCTGAGTGTGGGTCCTGGGGAGGAGGGGGAAGGGACAAGTCAGAGGGCAGGGGGCCAGCATGACCTTTCTGGCCCCCAGCCCAGTATCCACCAGCATTCTCTTGAAGCAAAGCCCCCTTAAGGCTCCAGGCACCCTGGAGAAACAGCAGGGCCAGGTGAGGAGAGCTAAAAGGCTGTAGATCATGTTTACTGGCTACCTCCAGAGGCCCAGCACCCTTTGCTAGTCTGGCTTCATGACGAACAATGGTAATGGTACTGATTTTCCAAGGGAACCAGGTCCAGGGGTGAGTACGGACCTGTACTATTCTGTCATTTCACGTCACGGCTAAAGTCACTGACGTTACCAGTTAAGGAACTCTGCAGCCAAGAGCAACGGAACTCTCACTGGAGCAAGAGGCTCAGGTTCAAATCCCACAACTCAGGGCCTTGGGTAGGTAGCCCTGGGTTCAACCTCTGCCTCGGTTTATGTATTCATACACTGTATGTGACAGCAATATCCTTCCACAAGGTCGCTGTGAAGACTAAGAAACTCTGCAGGGCAAGCTTGCAACTGGTGTTGCTTTTATGATTATGACTGCCCCAAGTCACAGTAAGTGGCAGAGAAGAACCAAGCGCTCGGTTTGTTGGATTCCAATAATAACCACAACATAACAATAGCAACTGCTATTCCAACCGCCACCAATTACACAGGGATTAGCATGTATGAGGCACTATGAGAAACCCTTCACAAAGGCTTCTCAACACTCCCTCCCCAAGACGGCCGCCTTCTCTCGGGCTCCTTTAGCCCTTAATTGAGCTCATCTTTCTATTATTTCTCCTTTGCAATTTGCTGTTCTCTTGGGTTCAGCCCATCTTCGGGAGGCCTGAGTCTACTTCATTCACTGCTTACTTGGCCAGTGCCCTGTATTAAGGAGGCACCCACCCATACTACTTATTTAAAATAACAACCAATCCTTTCAGTGGCCAGATTCCAACAGCTGCTGGGTAGAACTAGACTGAAAGGACCTCTCTCCAGTTCCTCCTCCCTGTCCCCTCCTTGTAGTGCCCACCTCGGAAGACGTGGACAGGGAATTGTCCAGGCCAAGGCTGTTCTTCCCTGGAGGGCTCTTGCTGGTGCTCAGGGAGTCGTTGCTGCCCACTAAAGGAGGGAATATGGGAGATGCAATGGGACCAGTTCAAGTCACCAGGCAGGAATTCCTACGGCAGACTGGACTGGATGCCCTCACCTTGAGGATGCAGCCCATAGGGCCCTGGGACAGGGCCGTTAGCGGCAGGCAGGGCAGCAGGCAGGGCAGGGAAGGGCACAGAGAGCTGCACGTTGAGGATCTGCAATCGCTCCTTCTTGGCTGTCAGGCTGAGGATCTGCTCCTGGAGCCGCTGGTTTTCCTTCTGCAGGGCATGCAGGGCCTTCAGCATCTCCACAACTTCAGAGAGAGAGGAGGAGCCTGAGGTTAGTGCAGCATGCATCACAGAGGCAGGGCCAGTGGGAGGGACTGGGTCTAGAGGGCAAAGGCTACCCAGATAGATGCCTTTGGGGAGGGAGATCTGGGATACAGAGGTTTGAGGACTGCAGGAGGCTCCTGATGCTACTGAGACTGAGGGGAGTGGGTACAACCTGGGGTTTGGTTACAACTTGTGCCAGGAGGTCATGAGGAACAAAGGTAGAATTAGCATAGGTGGACAGAGACCACCACCTATGCAAGGTTAAAGATGAGGGGTGTTTGTGTGTGTGTGTATGTGCCATATTCAGACTTAATGTGGAGGGGAGGGGCTTGATTCTGCCCCAAATTAATGTGCCAAACTGTGTCAAATCTTCATGGGAGCCCTTACCTGTTGGGAGGAGTAAGGGGAGGTGGGGTGGCGGGGAGAACCTTGGTTGGAATGTAAAATGAATTAAAATATAAATGTTTAAAAGAAATAAATCAGCCCTGGGGCCACTGGCTTGAGTCCCTAGGGAAAGGGGAAGCAGTGGCTGGGACAGGCCTCCCGTCCCTGTGCTCCCCGCTCACTGTTGACACCGGCCTCTCCATCGCCCTGCTTCTCCAGCAGCTGCTCCATGTTAGTTGTGCCTGGGGCCGTGGTGTCTAACTGGCCACCCCCACAAGGCGCCGCTGTTGTCTGGTCGAAGAGCGCAGGGAGGCTGCTGATGGGAGACCTGAGGCCAGAGGAGACGTGAACTCAGGCTCACCTAGCATAGATTCCAGCCCACCCCCACCAACCAGGAGGTCCTCGATCCTGCCCCCACCCACTCCTCCCTCCACCAAGGTGCACCCTCCCTCACATGGAAGAGAGACTCTCCTGGGGGGAGGTCCCGTGACACCGGAAGCTGCAGTCTTCTAGGTCTGGCTCTTGGAAGGAGAAGGGATGGCAAGGATCAGGGGGAGGGGAGCTACCTGCCTCAGGGCCCTCCCTGGAAAGTGGGGGCTGCTCCTAGGACCTCAACACAGTCCCCTTTTTCAGTACCCCCCAAACCTAGGCTGGTAGCTCATACTGGCAAGGAGCTGAGCTTGGCAACCCCATCTCAGAAAAGCTCTTCCCCTTCCTACAGGGCTCCTGCTGTCTGTTTCTAGATCTTCCAGTTACAGAAACTGAGGTCAAGACAAACCTGGAGCAACTGAACCAGACACTGGCTGTGTGACCTTGAAACGGTAACCAGCCTCTGTATAGCAACCGTTCTCAGGATTAAAATAAGGTCGTAAGAGTGCTGGGCTTAGCTGGCGGGCTCAGCAAGCACAAAGCAAGCCCTTAATCATTGTATTATCATAATTAGCTTTGACTTCTTATATTCATAAACTTATATTCAGAAAACTGTTGTCAACAGGAGACACACACACACACACACACGTGCTCTGGGTTATAGAAAACACACCAATTTTACCCAACCAAATCCTGAAACAGAAGTCAGATTTGGTTTTAACTCAACTGGCAGCTTATAGCCAAGCCCCGCCCCAAGGCTGACAGGCCCCCAAGTCTCTGTTCAGCTCTCAGGGGTTGAGTAGACTCTAGGGAGAAGATGGGGGAGCTTGCCTCCCACCCCCTTAACTCCTAAACACGTGGAGAGCAGAAAGCCCAGCTGGCGGGACCTCTGTGATCCCGACTACCACTGCACAGGAGGGGCCAGGGAAAGGGCACTGGCTTGTTTTAGCTGGCTTTGCCATTCTCTACCTAGGGCTTTGAGCAGGTCACTTCTCTTCTGTGGATGGGGCAGGACTGCCCTGCCGTGCCCAGCACTGCTTTCCCTAAGCCCCCTGGCTGGAAGTGTGTAAGATAAATCTGTTTAGGCAGAGGAGGCAATGGCTGGAGGGAGGGGACCCTCATGCTTTCTACAGCCATGTTCTTCAGAAGAAAAGGGAACAGGAGCAGGGGCCAGCATACCTGTGTGGCTATTCTCGGCTTGGGTGAGGAGGGGGTTTACAGTGCCCACGGGGGTTCCAAAGATGTGGGAAGAAGGGAGACTGAAGGTAGAGCCAGCCAGAGAAAAGACCTGTTGGAAGAACCAGACTCCAGCCTCAGTGTGCCCGTCCTCTACCACAGCTGGACAGTGTGGCAGGGCACACCTGGAGAAGAGAGGGCACACTGTAGGTGCTGTCCCCACCTGCCCAGGAAGTGCCTCACCTGAGTGGTGGAGATGGAAGCAGAAGAGGATGGGAGGGTGCTGGTGAATGGGGAACGGCTGAGGCGGGGCAAGGCTGAGGTCCCTGGAGGCCCCAGCAGGCTGGAAGAGAGTGGGGTGCTACAGACAGCCCGCAGCATCCCTCCACCATGAGAGATGGGGTCTTTATTACTGGTGTAGATTCCTAAAAATACAAAGACATACAGGAAACCCTAAGGTCCCCTTATGCCCCAGACTCCTCTTCAGATGGGAAGGCAGCCCCTCTTCAGGGAACACTGCATGCCTGGGACTCTGGCCTTTCACTTCTACTACCCCGCCTTGGTCTGGGCAATTCTGAGCTTTTCTTATTTTTCTATTTAGAACACTCCTGATCCTGCTGGCGACTACCCCAGTCTCTTCATGCAGACGACATCTATGAGAACAACTTAGAGCTGATGGCCACTTCCATTCTGTCTTCTGGAACAGTTTCTACCCAGAGACACTTCCTCTAACTCTTCCATTTAAGTTCCTGCCTTCTCACAGGACTGGTTAGTCCTTGAGATGTTCTTTAACTACAGGGGTCACTAACCTGCCCCCAGCAGAGGGGATTCCAGGCTCAGGCTGGGCAAGCTTCCTGAAGGCCCAAAGGTCCGGGAGGCCAGACCCCCAAGGCCGGAGCTGACCAGGGAGCCTCCAGAGAAGGGCGAGGCAGCAGTAGCAGTAAAACCAGCCAGCTGAGCCCCAGGGAGGGAGGCAGTGGGGCCTGTGGCACCCTCCTTGCCTCGGCTACCCTTAGGACGGCCTGGCCCGTGGCGGCTCCTCTTGCTGGCTTTGTGCTTCTTCTCCTTCAGGCCTGTCTCAGGAGCCTCCTCGGCAGGTCCAAGGGTGGCACTCAGTGCAGGCATCCGCTTATGGGTGCCTCCTGCTGAGGCCCCAGCTCCCGAAACATGGGGAGACTTGTAGTCCCCAGGTGAGGGGGCTCGGGCCCGGCTGGAGCTGGAGGAGGTGGCAGAGAAGCGCATGACGGGCCCAAAGCCAGAGAAAACCACCTTCTGCTCGAAGAGGTCAGCCTTAGGGGGCTCAGGGGCTGTGGGCGAGGGAGGGGCTGGCGGAGTGGGGGCCGCGGGCTTGGAGTACTTGTCTTCCTCAGGCTGCTCCAGCTTGGGGAATGCCACGAAGTCAGGAGAGCTTTGCAAGGACGAGCCTGCAACAAAGGAAGGGGATTGCTGCCGGACCACCTACCTCCCTAGCCGGGGAATGAAGCCTTGTGTCCTGGCCAGCTGTGTGTCCTACGTTAACAGCCCCTGCTGGAAACAACAGGAGGGAAGCCACTTCCACCCTTGAGTGAATTACTGTCACATTAGCACTGGCAGGGACAGGTTCTCACTCCAGCACAGGCCGGCCTCAAACTCAAGCAATCCTGCAGCTCCCAAATGCTGGGATTATAGGCCGCCATGCCTGGAACTAATATTGGTGCTTCTGATTGGCCCCTTTGACACAAGAGTAGGGGACATTACTGCGGGGCTGGAGGGGTTGGCCCTGAAAGGAACAGATGAGCTCTGACTTAAGAAGGGAAAGGTGAGGGCTGGAGCACTGACTGCTCTTCTAGAGGACCTGAGTTCAAGCCCCAGCAGTCCATAACCATCTAGCTATAAAGGTATCTAACACAACTACCTATAACGGGACCTGACACAACCCATCTTTAACGATCCTATGCCCTCTTCTGGTGTGCAGACAAAGTACCCCCATGCAAAAATAAATAAATCTTAAAAAAAAAAAAGAGTGAAGGGTGGAGAACCCAGCTGGGAACTGAGCCTCTGGGGGAGGGGGGAATTCCCTGTGAAGCACCAGTCCCTTGCCAGCCACAACAGCATATGACAAAAGGCTCCCCCTCCCAGCCTCCTCCATGACACCCATACTCACCTGCAGGCTGAAAAGACCCCCCAGAGGAGGAAGAAGAGGAAGAGGAGGAGGAAGAGGAGGAGGCGGAGGTAAAACTGCTCACACCTTTCCCACTGCTCAGTCCCTTCCCCTTATGACTCAGGCTATGGCTGGAAGACTTTTTCCCCTTTGAGCCCCTGCTGCCCTCAGAGGTCTCCTGAGTGCTGGCCTCATGGTGGGAGGAAGTCGAAGCTGAGGAGACCTAAGGAGAGACAACAGAGGCTCACTGCCAGCTGCACAATCCAGCTCAGCCTGATTTGGGGATGAGGGTGAAGGCACAGGACCTGGGCTCAATTGTCTCCAGGCAAGGAGCCGTGGGAGGCTCTAGAACAGTGAGACAGGAGGCAGCTGCAGAATTCTAGGGAATGTCCTGACCCTGTCTTTGCCCCAGGACCCAAGAGAGACCAGTCCACATTCCGCACTGACCTACTCAGCGAAGGCTCACTAGGAAATACCTCTGGCCTAAAGACTGGTGCTGGTCTTGGGCCCTCCAGCTGTTACCACTCACAGCCACCTGGCTTTGGCCCATCTCTGACGACTGCAAATTCTTGCTGGAATCCCCAAGCCTGCACACCAACCCACCACAGGGCAGCCTGTCTTTGCTTCTCCAATACCCAGCTAGGAAGCCCCAACTCTAGGAAGCCTCGCTACACACCTAGGCGAATGACCTGGTCTTACTGTCTGGCTGAGGTGCGATACTCTGGGAGGGCAGGGTGTTGGGAGGCTCTGCCCTCCTCACCATGGTATCTCTGTTGTGTAGCCTCTGGACCTGGCTCAGCAGTTACCATCCTTAGGAGCACATTCCTGGGGGTCAAGAGCAGCTCCGTGCCAGAGACACAGCAGGGGTTCAGTAAATAAGGCTTCTGATGGCAGTGGTTGTTACTAGTGCCTGGCAAAGATGGTTCTGTGCGAGCACAGCCCTTCAAGCCAGACCACTGTGGTTGAAAGCTTTCCCGCTAGCTGTGTGCTTTTAGACAAATTATGTAACTTCTCTGTGTTCTCAGCGTCACTGAGGAAGTGGAAGTGACCTGGCAAGGCACCTACCACACGGGGTTATTCTGACGACTAAACTAAGTCCTCCCCATGTGCCCCTGCTCTCCCCTGGTTCCAAAGACAGTCTGGCCTCTATGTAGTAGTGCCTGAGTACCAGAGAAGGTGAGCTCTCTTTAGGGTGGATACCAAGTATTCAAATTGAGCCCAAGGAGCGAATGAGAGGGAAGTGAGAGCTACCCTCCCTGGGCGGAGCCCTTGTCTCTGTCTTCCTTTGTTCTTTTCAGCAGCTGGAGTTCTGAAGGGAGCCAGATGTGCTTCGGAAAGCCACCAGGAAGAGAGGAGCTGGGGGAAGGGGGCCTAAGTATTGGGATGGGTTGTGAGGGGATAGGCAAAACTCTACAGCATGTCCAAGGGTTACCCCCATTGCTAGGGGACCCCCAACAGGTCTTTCTATCTGCCTGAACGTTCCAGGAAAGGTCAGACCAGCTTTCCCAGGTGAGCCCAGGGAAGCAAGCAGGAGGGGAGTTATTGGGACAGTTGCCACAGCAACATCACCCTGGAAACCTGATACCTGAGCCTCCTGCTAAGATGCCCAGTGCCCTGCCAACTGTGTGAGGGAGTAGAGGTGACTAGCAGTAATGGGACGAGAGGGAGTGCTTTCTCCAGGCCCCCAGGAGACTCACACAGTCTGCTCTGGCTTGGATTAGCACTCACTGGCCTAGGGTAGGGCCTGCCTGTTGCTCCTTCAGATGCTACCCATTTCTACAGCCAAGCCAGTTGAGAGGGTGGGGTGACTGGGGATTTCAGGGTATTGCCAGAAGCCGCTCCCACCCAGCAGGAAGTGGGATCTAGCCATCCTCCCAGTGGCAGGAGTTCTCAGCCTATCCCACAGGGAAAACAAGCCCGGGGGCCACACCTCTGCTCTCCAAAGACAAGAGCCCAACGCTGAGCCTCGGCTTGGACAAAGGTGCCCCGCATGGCAGTTAAGAGGCAGGGAGGCACCCCCACCTCACCCATAGTATGTGTCAGGGCTTGCTATGAGAGGATGCCCAAGCAGGCCCCTGCTCACCCTGACCCTTCACACTACATACAGTCACCCCTGGACTAGCACACTCAGCATCCTGAGAACAAGCAGTAATACCTTATCAGCAGTGGGGACCACAGGCGGGGTGAGGATGCTGGGGGGGGACTCAGGCCGCTTCTTGTGCTTCTGTTTAAGGCGTTCCTTATCCTTTCGACTCTGGGGAGGAAAAGGGGACCAGATATTGATGGAAGGGGAGTTTGAAGGAGGTTAACCATGACACGTGAGTGTGGGGGGCTCAGTGAGTCCTCTCCCTCCACAGAGGGAAGGAAGACTCCAGCTGGACAGGAGTGGCTCAGGCAAGATCCTTTGAGAGCCAAGAGCCCCTCCCCCATCTTCCCTCCTGCTAAAAATAGCCTGTCCCATTATCGCGCCAGTGACAGAGCACCACATGAGCAGGCACTCACAAGGGTGTACCCCTGGAACACACATACACTTCTTGGCATGGGGCACAAGGGGATAGGCTAGAGATGTGTGCAAACATGTAGGATCACAAAATCATAGGTTGGGGACATTGTCACGTCGTGAGGAAAACAGAGAATTAGGCAGACATAGAAGCCAGGTCCCAACCTCTGAGCCTCTGGGTGTACCTCCTTAGCTACCTCTTCAACCTCAGTGGCCTCCGGGGAAGACCTAGGCACCTGGTGGGAGTCTCTGAAAAGAGCTATGTCAGACAGAGCAGGTCTTCACCTTCTTCTGGCCCTTCTCATGGTGGGTAGGGTGCTTCTCCTGCTGTGTGGACGGTGAGGCCGACCGGCTTCTCCTGCCAGTAAGGAAGCTGTTGCTGCTGCTGCTGCCGCCGCCGCCACTGCTGCTGCCTCCCCCTGAACCACCTCCACCACCGCTGGTACCACTGTTGCCACCTCCTCCACCGCCTCCACCTCCTGTTCCTCCTCCTCCCCCGCTGGAGTGCCGTGATGTCTTCTGAAGGTAGAGATTGAGAGGAATTGCTGAACCTTTCTTTCATTAGCTTAAGGAAGGTTTCTGAAGGTCGCAGGATCCCAGAGCCGGTCCCTCTGCCCCTGCAGGTTACCCCTGCCTTCTGTGATTCGCTGGTCAACCTAGAAATCCTAGGGCTTCCCTAGCTGTCTTTTGTTTTGTTTTATGAGACAGGTTTCTCTGTGTTGTCCTGGCTGTCCTGGAACTCACTCTGTAGACCAGGCTGGCCTCGAACTCAGAGATTCAGCAGTCTCTGCCTCCGAAGAGCTGGGATTAAAAGCGTGTGCCACTGTCTTAACAATGTACAGATTCAACCACAGAGGTCAGAATCATAAAGAGACACGGACCAGCCTTAGCCTCCAAAGAGGTACAGTGAGGTTGGGCATGGACCTGGACCCAGGACTCGGGCCTCTTGCTGCCTTCCCATATTCCAGTGCTCTCCTAGCGTCTCAGGCAGCCTGAACCACAGCCCATGGCCACCTACTTCCCTTAGAAAAAAAATACACAGAGGACAGTCCGGGAGCCCTGGCTCCCTGAGAACTCATGTCTCTCGAGCCCTCATATCCTCCTCCTTGGTCCTGCTTTTCCTCTCTGCCCAGCAGTCTAGGTCTATACAGAAGATCTGCTGCCCTGAGCCAGGGGCTGCTGTCAACGAACACCAAACCACCTCCCTGGGATTGCCCTCCTTGTGCCTGGTCTGACAGCTTTACCCATCCCAGGCTCGCAGGGAGCAGCTGCTCCCTATGACCACCAACGAGTCCCCAGTTGCCAAAGCCTAGGATTAATTTCAGGCCTCGCCAGCTTGGGCTCTGCTCCTACTTCATCAAGTTCCAGATCTTTTCTCCCAAGTCTCTTTCACATCTGGACCCCGTCTATTCTGGACACCCACAGAGGCAGCTTCAGGCTTGTAACCTCTGCCTGCCCTTGCCACCCTGCCTGGGGACCCCCACCAAATCCGCTGTCTACCTAGTGCCCCCTGCAAATGCATCAGAACTCCTGACCTTGCCCTAAGTGGCCATCAAACTCTAAAAGCACAGTGACTGTGTAATTAGGAGCAAACCAGGACACCGCTGAAAAGAGAAGGGGATCTATTAGTCATCAGACGGGGAAACAGGCACAAAACAAGATGGTCTGGGTGGACCAAGGTGTGGACTCCCTGAGAGGCCGGCAGCCCCCTTCCTAACACCCCCAGGGACCCGCCTCTCCCCACCCAGTGGTTGGCTACAGCCTGCATCTTACTTCACATTCACCTTCCGCTTCTTGACCACTCTCATGTTTAGACAAGCACACCTACAGGGACTCCAGCATCCAGCCTCTCGTCCCTGTCACCCGCCCCTCTGTTTGCAGCTGTCTCTCGACCCAGCTTCATGGTTGCTGCCAGGATAATCTGCCTATAACACAAATCTGATCATATTACTCTCTGGCTTCTCAGGAGCTCTCCAAGCTGTGGCCTGGGGCACAGAGTCCTGGCTGCAGCCTACTTCTGCAGCTACATCCCAGCCTGGGGAAGCTCCTCATCTGTTCAGCCATGACAGCCTCGTCTCCTCCCTCAAGCTCACTACCTGCCTGGTCCCATCAAACAGCCTTCCCTCCGGCCCCAGCACAGGCTCCCCCTCACCTTAGGGCTCTTACCTACCCCTGGCATGGCCAGTTCCTGAGGGCCTTTCTGATGGAATTGTTTGTTCTGCCTCCCACCCACCAGCTGGGAGACAAGCTATACCATCAGGGACGCTTCATTTACCTATCTGTGAAATGGGACACAGGCAGCACATTTGGGCCCTGGGAGGATCACACACGGTCAACAAGACCCTGTCCCAGCACAGTGTTGTCCTACTTGTCCTCCTAGCTCTAACTAGCTTAAAGATTCCCAGATTGACAGGTGCGAGGGGGAGGGTTCTGTCTCCTAGCCTTGACTACTCACTTGGGCTAGTTCTGATTTGCACCCCGCAGAGCTCCCAGAAAGCAGGGACTAGGGGGCACAGGGGGAAAGGGGGCTTTCTGCCTTCCAGCACCAGGCACAGGTGTCCCAGAGCGCATGTGCCCTCTAACAGGCAGGACTCACCATCTTGCTGAAGTGGTATTTGCAGTAGCCACAGTACTTGACATTGTCCACCTCCAGCACTTCTTCCTCACACAGCAAGCCTGCCATCTGGGCACTGAGGAGAGGCAGGTCAGCAGGGTGTAGCCACAGACCACAGCTGCCTCCACCTCCTTCCTCCTGGACCCAAGTTCTAAGCATGGCATTGCCACCAGCTCTCACACACGAGAGTCCCACTCCCCTCCCCTCCCCAAAAAAATTTATAAAAAGCTGGGCAGTGGTGGAGCACGCCTTTAATCCCAGCACTCAGGAGGCAGAGACAAGTGGATCTCTGTGAGTTCAAGGCCAGCCTGGTTTACGGGTTTACATAGCTAGTTCCAGGACAGGTTTCAAGGTTTACAGAGAAACCCTGTCTCAGAAAAACAAAAAAACAAACAAGCAAACAAAAACATAATAACACTCAACAGCCACCACAAAGCCCAGAGCAGCTGGGAATGGGAATCTCACCAGGTGACATGAAAAGCCTGTCGACATCCGTGGCGGTTACAGGTCATGCAGGCTCCTGATGCGGCTTTGCTCTCCCGGCCCTGTTCCTCACAGATGTAACAGGTCTGCAGGGCACAGCACAATGGACCCCTCCTCCAGGAAACCCCACCTTGCCTGCTGGGGGAGTCTCTGGCTTCCCCTCAATCCCATCCTGCCCTCCACCACCCCAGATCAGTGCTAGCCAATAGAATTTCCGACAGAAACAGAAATGGTCTGGAACCTATATAATGCAAGTCAACAAAAGCAAGTCACAAGGTCATCAATGCAGTTGGTATGCCTGGGGAAATGAATTCTGAAAATTTTAAGAGTTTATTTATTTCTGCATGTATGAGTGTGTCTGTATGTGTATCACACTGTGTGCCTAGTGCCCTCAGAAGCCAGACAAGCGCACTGGATTGATTCCCTGGAACTGGAGGTATACATGGCTGTAGGCTGTCATGTGAGTACCAGGTGCTAAGCCTGGTTCTGTGCAAAAGCAGCAAGTGCTTCATCTACCAAGCCCTCTCTCCAGCCCGAGTATTCAATTTTCAATGCACAGTCCTCGGTAAGGCTCGAGAGGCTGGCATCTATGTTAGCCTAGCTCCCTGATATGCCCACTGCTCCACTTGCTGGACCTCTGCATATGCTGTATCTTTTCATGGAACCTGGGACCAGCATCCTCAAAGTCAGTTCTTTGTCACGCCCTAGGTGGCAGCCTTAACTTCTCCTTCCTTAACCACCTTATACCCAAGCAAGCCTCACTGGGTGTCCTTTATCTCAACGCCTGTTCATCCATCTGTCTTGATTAATAGCAAGCACTGGGTACCTGCTGCACCATCTCTCTCACATACTAGAAACTCAAGAATGCACTACTAACTAAAGGCTGTTCTCTGGCTGTGCTACTTTGGGGGAGCTTACTATTTGCCAGAGTCACAGAGCAGAGGCATACACCTGTCTGTGCACAGAAGATAGTCCAGCAGTACGCATCCTTCCTGAGTTCCCCAGGAGAGCTAGAAAGCATAATGGTGGCACCCCAGGACAATAGGCCAGGAAGGGGACTAGCGAGGGGCCACTGACCTTGTTGAAGCGGTCATGAGGGACGTACTGCAGCACAATGGGCTCCATGGTGAGCACGTTGGCGAACTGCACCTCCGGGATGTAGAGGGCACACACCACGTGAGCCCAGCCTGGGACAGTGTGGGGATCAGCCTCAGCAGGCCAGCAAGCACGAGACCCCACCCCTCCCAGCACCAAGCTGTAGACTGTCCCCTGCTTCCACAACCAGAGCAGGGAAAGCCAGCCCACCCCCCACCTGCTCAGGGGGCCTGGCTGACCTCAGCGGGGGCTCAAGGTCCCCTCACCTCCATTGTCAGTCCTCTTCAATGCCCCATCTTTGTGTGGGCACAGCTCACACCTCTGCCAATGCAAGAAGCACAGGTGTTTGGGGGAAATCTGCTGATCCGGCCCCTCCCTGAACTCATCCAAAAGGACCCAAGATGACATAGATCTGGGTGTGCAGGAAAGAGGCTTGGCCAAGAGCTCATAACTGCTGAAGACTGGGTAAGGCGGACCTGAGGTTCATTTACCAAAAAAAAAAAAAAAAAAAAAAAAAACCCACAAACACACACAAATCAAAGCCCCTCTGCCGGAGGTGGGGCAGAGCAAAGTGATGAGCAGAGGAGGGCTGGGCCTGGAGATGGGGTCAGGAAACAGGAAATCCTGAGTGGCAAAGCTTAGTCCTGCCCCAGGCTCAGGGTGCCCTAGCTCAACCTGTAGAAGATGCTGTGATATGGGGAAAGAAAAAAAAAAAAACAGAATCTGAACTCACCACCCTGGCTGCTCGCTCCTGAGATTCACATTTCCTGCAGAACCAGGGTCCCGTTGGCACCTGGACGATGCCATAGCAAGCTAAGAGTGGGGGAGGAGAGTCACTGAGCAAAGCCCACAGCCACTGGTTTTTTTCCCCCCTGAATAACTGGGGGCGTGGAGAGACTCAGGGGACTAAAACCAGCCCAGTAGGTGGGGCTGCTCCCCAGACTCCGGGTCACTGTGAAACAGGACCACAAGTAATGTCCAACAGCATAGAGCCAGCCTTCAATCACAGGGCCACGCATTCCGAACAGGGGCAAGTCTGACAGTCCTTGACCTTAAACTTCCGAGGATCCTCCTCCATCCTCATCCCCCTACCCCCTTTTTCCCCCTGGACCTGTTTTCCATCCTCTACCCTGACCAGACATCCGAACAAGAAATAGTCATGATTGTAACACGTTTTGTTGTTATGGGGGGGGGGGGCACTTCTTAAAGGGCCAGTAAGGGATGAGGCAAGGAAGTCGGGGGTCCAAGAACCTCATTTTCTGTCTCTATCACAGGTGCAGGTCAAAAGTCAAGGCTGAGCAGGTGCGGTGAAGGTAACCTAGGGAGACTGGCGGGAAGAGCCCGCAGTCACCGCATTAAGGGCTGTCTCAGGAAGGGGGGGGCTGGTTGCCTGTGCCAGACAGGCAGAGATGCCAGCCTGCGCCCTCGGCAAGATTCCTTAAGGAGTTAACTCCCGATCCATGTGCTGCTGGGGGAAACTCCAAACCTCCCTCTCCTCCATTCCGGGCCCCCTGTACCACCGCTCTCCCAGCCTCAGCTCTTCCCCGGAGGATTTCAGGAGTCCCTTCTCCCGTGGGACCCTTCTCCTCCCTACCCAATTCCGCTCCTCCCAGCATCCGGAAGCAAAGGAGGATGACCCCCCCTTGACCTCTTCCTCCCGGAGCGGGAACCAAAATAAACCGGGCAACGGGGGGGGGGGGGATACCTCCCAGGTAAACATTCTCGGGACAGCCCCGACACCGGCGGTGCGGGTATCAGGGAGTTCACTCCTTGCTCCCTGGACTCTCCCCAAAACTCCTTCAACTTGGGGTGGGGGGCGCGGGACTGGAACAATAGGCAAGAAAACAATGCCTGACCCGGTCCTGGAGGACCAGGCTGGGGGGGGGAAGCCCACGCCGCCCTTCGCTTCAGGTGGGTGGGGGAGGGGCACGCGCCCCAGGAGGGCTCCGGAGGGCGCGGCCGAGGGCACCCGGTGCGCGCGCCGCCCCCGGGGTCCCGCAGCCCCCCGCCGGCCGCCCCCCCCCTCCGCCTTACCTTGGTGGACGGCCACGCTACACGCGTGCCCATCGCAGTAGACCAGCGGGTTTTCGGCCCAGCCCCTCTCGTCCGAACATACGCAGCAGCCTCCTACCATCTCCTTCATACTCCCATGAGCTCCCTCCGGGGCTGGGGCTGGGGGCCGGCCGGCGGGGGTCGGGGGTCAGGGGGGGAGGGAGGGAGCGGGGGCCGCGCGCCTCCTCGCCCCCTCCTCCGCCGCCGCCGCCGCTTCTTTTCTTTGCCTCCTCCTTCCTCCTCCTCGGCGTCCTCCTCCTCGCTCGCTCTGTCTGGCCGCCCCCCCCGCCGTGCTCTCGCCCTCATGCCCCGACGGGCCCCCCCCTCAACAATGAGACTCGCGCGCCGCGCTCTTCTTCCGCGCCGTTCGCCGGCTACCAGGGCCGCCCGGCCACCGTGCAACCCGGGCCCGGCGGGGGAGGCGCGGAGTGGCACATCGCGGGCGCTCGCCCGCCCCGCGCCGCCCGCTCACGCGCCGCCCCCCCGGCCCCCCTGCCCGGCCGCGGCAGCCATGGCCGCGCGCCTCCGCTCGCTCGCTCGCTCCCGGCCCGCCCGCCGCCGGGTAAAGTCTTAGGTTCAGGGAACAAAGCCTGGCTTGGTAGGGAGCTTTTCGCTCGTGCGCTCCGTGCAGCTTTTCCGTTTTTTCTTTTCCCTCTTATTACTCTAGGTGGGTAGTTCCCGAGCCCTCCCCTCTGCAGAGAGCCTGTCACATTTTGGGTCTCCGATCACCCGCCCCCAGCCCCGCTTCTTTGAGTGTTCTTCAACCCTAGGAAAATTAAGGGGAGATTTAAAAAAAAAAAAAAAAGGACTCTAAAAGGAATTGGGCGATGTGAACCATTTGCCTGTGCTTGGTACTTGTTCCTGGAGGGGCGGAGGAGTTTCTTTGGATGGCATTCATGGGCGCTGTCCCTGGAGGCCACTCTGGAGGGTAAACAATGTCACCTGTAAACTTTTACTTGCTCTTCAAATAATGGTTTGTTTTCTTGAGACGGTCTCCAGTAGCTCTGGCCGGCCTCGAACTCACGAACTTGCCGCGTAGGCAAGGATGACCTTGAACTCGGTAGCCTCAACTAGCGGGGCTCTACTTTAAAGGCGTGAACCACCACGCCTGCTGAGATATTTGTTGAACTCTGGCGTCTCCTGGCCGCCGGAGGAGATATTCCTGCCCTCCGGGAGCTTCTCTTTGAAGTCATTACTTTCTAGGTCTCTAGACACTTTTGGGGTATACCGAAGTACCATCGCTTCTTCCAAGCCCCACCACCTAATTTCTCAAAGACTAACTCCACACCTCCAGCCTCAAGGCGTGCGCAAAGATCTAACGCGAGTGAAGAAATCGTTACCTTGGAGGCCCCAGCAAACAGAATTACGCCTGACTTCTGGGCACTCACACAAACACAATAGCGCTCACAACCACTAGACGGAGGATTAAAGTCCCCGAAATTGGGTCTGGGGTTTGGAGGAGGGCAACCCAAGACTCACCCCCCACCATACCAATATAGGCCCAAAGACAAGATCTGATCCCCCCTTTTTTTCTTGACAAGGAGGAGACGGCACTCTCACAGGGACCAAAGGTCAAATACCCCCCTCAGCGGGAGGTTGGGTGGCCGAGGGGAGACGGCAGCCCTGGGGGCTTCATCCACACTTCAAAGACCTCTAGGCCGGGGACGCTTCCTGGGGGGGAGGGGCGGAAGGATCGGAGAGGAGGAGGAGGCGGGCTGGGGGATTGAGGGTGGAGGGGGCCGCTCCCCCTTCATCGCACTGCCCCCCTGGCCGACTCTTCCGCCGGGTCCGCCTCCTTTTCACTAGCACCTGTTCAACCGGAACATCAAGGGGCCAGGGCCCGCAGCTCCCCCCTCCGCGTCTCTTTAGTACCTTTCATCCCGGAAGGGGGGGGGTGAATCCCCGCCCAGGAGGGGGGGGAGCAGAGCGGGGGAGAACTTGTCCTTGACCTGGTCTGCGGCGTCAGGGATTTACTCCCTTAATCCTGGCGAGGCGGGAGTTTGGGGAGGTCTGTGTAGCTGAGTTCTGGGCTGGAACCCCCAACGCCGCTCACTCTTTGGACCCTGGGAAGCCCGAATGCTGCCTGAACGAAGAGACTGTCTAGAGAAGTGAGTCTGAGGTAGACCATTTTGTGGCTTCTGAATCAGCACACGTCGAGGGCCGAGATCTCGCCTGTTTTTACTCAGATTGTGAACTTCGCTCATGCGAAAAGTTAAGACTCAGAGGAGAAACCTTACTTGAAGTTTCTAGCCAGCTACGTCTACTAAGAATAGAACTGCAGGAAAACCGCGAAAATGTCTGCCCTACCTTTGCAACAGTTCCAAAATATCGGAGTATTTATCTCTGGAACCCTTACTGTCAAATGCTCACGGTTATGGGTTTCGCCGCACGAGGGTCACTTTACGACCCCTTGGTCCCTCCCTTTACCCAGGAATTGGTGACTTGAGGACAGGGAACGGAATGCCTGTCTTGAGTCAGGCTCGTGTCCAACATGTCCCCAAAGCTTTCAGGATGAACGTTTGACACACATTTAGCGTTTTAGTTTGGTTAAATTCTCCCCAACTTATTTAATGTAAAGTGGGTGGAAACGTCCTCCGTTTTACGGATGGAGTGACTGCGACGGGCTAAATAATTTGCTCAGAGGCGCATAGCCAGCCTCGAAAGCAAGAGCCAAGGTTTGAACAGAGTCTTGTCTTCTCGTTAGACTAGGGCTCGGCTACCGTGACTCCAGCCTGTGGGGAGCTGAGCTGCCCGCCTCGCCCCCACGCGCTCTATTGTAAGGGTCCTGGGGAACCCTCTGCAGGCTAGGCTGGGTTCGCGGAGCTGTCAGACTCGTTCTCCAACTTCCAACCTTTTCCTGAGCGTCCACTTTGTGCATATCCACAAAAAGCAAGCAGGAGCAGGTCTCGACCAACAAGTGGTTCAAGTTCATAGTGCTCTCCATAGTATGACTTATCACTGATTTGAGGTGTCACGCATATTCTGGGCGCACAGCTTTCAACTCTTGGGCTCAGCGGGTCCCTCCATAAGTGGGGCGTTACCCTGAGGCGTGGACCGAGAATACCTTCGTGAAGACCAGATACACACGCTCAATCCCTGCCCTTCCTCTCTCTACACCCGCCGGCGAAGCGCGCCAGTGCAGGCGGCGCGTCCCACTCCCGCCTCCAGCATCTCCGCCCGCCTCGCACATCCCGCCGCAAAGGGACTGGGGCAGAGAGGGCGAAACAGAAAATTATTTCCGCCCTCTCGGCCCGCCCCGCCCCGCCCCGCCCCGCCCGTCCCCGGAGCCAGAAGGGGATTGTGGGGCCGCCTTGGCCGCCGCCGGAGCCGAGCGGGGCGGAAGCGCGCGCCGTGCTGCTGCTCGGGCCCGACCGCGCCGGCCCCCGCACCTCCCGGCTCAGGCTGCGGGCTGTGGTCGGGGAGGTCCTGGGCCCAGGCGCCTGCCGCGGAGCGCGCTTCCGCGAAGTCTGGCTCGCTGGTTCCCGGAACGGAGCGGGAGAGGCAGAAGAGTGTCGCGGTTTCGGTTTTTGCCCTACGATTGCTTTCGTCGGCCCCCGGGGCCGGGGTTGCGACCTTTCCTCTGGGCTAGTAGACAGACGTGGGCTGGAAGAACGGACTGCGCGGGTGCCCACGGGCGGGCTTGCTTTTCCTTTACGCCTCCTTTGCGAACTGTTTTCAGCCCTCAAAGCAAAGCTGCTGACCTTGGGGCGCGTTTGGAGAGGTTAAATGCCTTTCTGGAGGTAACCCAGCTAGTGAGGAAGAGCTTGCCAGTGATCGGGTAGACCAGGCTGGCATGAGGTAGAGAGAAGGCGGGCGAGGAGAGGGGTGCCTTCCAGTTGGTGTCAGTTGCCTCCTCCAGCCCAGCCATTTACTGGCTGTGACTGGTTAGAACATCAAAACTGGAACCTTCAGCTTCTCCAAAATACTGTACCCGCCCAAGGGTTGAAAGGAGCAAGTTGCCTATTGCTTATGAGGGTGCGAGGAACGGTGATTTCCCATCAAAGGTTATATGACTATATGACTGTCCGTGACTAGCTAGCTAGTGGGGGAAGGGAGATGAGCCAGCAAGTTCCTTCCTAAAACGCAAGTGTTGTGCTAGATGCTCGGAGGCCCATCTCAAGAGGAACCGTGGGAGTCGGGGGCTTTCCCATGCCTTGGGCTGTCCAGAGTCTTCGCTGTTGCAGTGGCCCTGAACTTGTACTTTTCACACATTTTCGCAGGAAGCCCTGAAGGTTCATAAGCAATTAGATGCAAATAGCTTTAGTTGGCCAAACTGTGAGGTGGAGAGAATTAGACCCCCTTCTCCAGCCTGCGATCCTAGCAGGTGCTTTAAGAACCCAGTGAGCCTCAGTAGGACCGTGGCCACATCAGGGCAGCAGCGACTTCCTCTAGGGAGTTAAGATGGGTAGGTGGGTAGGAAGGGGGGAAGTTCTGGGGGGGGGGGGTGTTAAGAGACATCAGCTAAAGAGTTTCTTGGAAGCTAGTCCCAGCCTCCCTTCTTAGCCCCTAGTATATAGCCTTGTGCACAGCAGTTACCATTGACGGTTGGGTGGTTTCACGTTGGAAGTCCCCTTGGAGTTAACACTGTGGGTTGGTGACTTTCCAGCCTGGGTATGACTCATGAGAAGCCTACCAGGCTCCTCTGTGCTACCCCAGTCCTTTCTGAACTCTCTGTTCATCATCTTATAGTTACCGACAGGACAGAGCTGAGAAAGTTGAGCAGATCATTTCGGTGAATCCTGGGCTGGCAGAGGGAACTACATAGATAACGCCTGACTGCAATAGAGAGAAATCACGCCTTCCGGATGGTCGGCAGTGGGAGTGGACTGCAGTGTTTATGAGGTCAGAGAAGGCCTGAGCTGGGGCCCAGGGGATGAGCAAGGGTTCATAGGCAGATAGGGGCTGAAGATATTCCAGGCAAGAACCCAGCACGCTCAGAGTTACAGAGACAGGAGCCCCCACACCGGTGTGCTGAAGTTGTGTTTCGTGGTAACCTCATCTCTGCCAGTGTAGCTGGAGAGAGGATGGAGGAGTTGGCAACAGATGGATGATGGGGCCTTGAGTGTCTAGTCAGAATGTCTGGGTTTAAGCCTAGGGCTTAAGGACAGCACTTGGGGTTCGTAAGGAAATACATGCAAATAGTTTTGGTTTGCAAAACGGTAAATGCAGGTAATTAGGTCACCCTTCTAATGGTGCAATCCAGGAATCCAACACAGAGCTGGCCCTTTTAGATAAGTTGTGGTTGGCCATGTGTGCTCACTGTTTCCCTCAGATACTGCTTAGGGCTGGGTGGAGGCTAGAAGTCGGGAGGTAGCTGTGACAGTATTCTCAGTCTTAGACTCTGTGTGAACTCCAGGTTTGTTTTTTTTTTTTTATTTAAATGCAGATTTTTTTTTTTTAAACCAAAGATGCAGGGTTTCTCTGTAGTCTTGGCTGTCTTGAAACTCACTCTGTAAACCAGGTTGGCCTTGAATTCACAGATCCTCCTGCCTCTGCCTCCCAAGTGCTGGGGTTAAAGGCATGT